AGATAGGAGTCTCACGGTCTTTCCTGCCCGGGCTGGCTTTGAACCGCGATCCTCAGATCTCAGCCTCCTGAGTAGCTAGGATTACAGGCGTGAGCCACCAACGCCCAGCTACATTTCTGATTTCTTAAAATCAGAAAACTGTATTTGAAGAGAAGGAGAGAGAGGCTGAAAGGGAAACCCTTATGTCATAAAATTTTATTTCTCCTATAACAGAATATATATTATATATTTATTTATAAGTATACTTATTTCTCCTATAACAGAAAACTAAAAGTTTTCTCAGGTGAGAATAGAAATAATGAAAATTCTCTGTTCCAAGAATAAACAGCTTTCAGAGTACATATTACCACCAGTAAAAAGTTACTTTCAGAGAACTACTCAAAGTATCAATGAAAAATGCAGCGGTCCCAGAAACAAAAGTCATAACCTGGATTAAAAAAAGTAGCAGAGGGGCTGGGAATGGGTATGGACTTTGTAGGAATCTTTGCTGGAGCCCAAAGTAGAAGCAGGAAGTGATAGAAATGAGGCTAGGAAGGTAATGAGATGGCACCTTGGAAGGTCTTGTTTGATCTCTCATGAAAAGTTTAGATTTCTTTTTTTCTTCTTTTTTTTTTGGTCCGGTCCTGGGGCCTGAACTCTGGGCCTGGGTGCTGTCCCTCAGCTCTTCAGCTCAAGGCTAGCACTCTACCACTTGAGCCACAGCGCCACTTCCGGGATTTTTCTTTTTGCTTATGTGGTGCTGAGGAATCGAACCCAGGGCCTCAGGCATGCAAGGCAAGCGCTTTACCACTGAGCCACCTTCCCAGCCCAAGTTTAGATTTCTTAGTTCTTAAGTAGAAACTCATCAGAAATATGTCTGGAGTGTGGAAATCATACCTGGCTTAGATCCCCCTTCCCCAGAGATCCTAATAAACATTCAGAGGAGGCGACACTGCACCTGAACTTTCCAATGCTTCCCTAAGTCATTCTGAAGTGGTCTGGGTACAAGGATTGAGAGAATGGCTCTAGTGAAGAGCGTGGATCTAACCTACACTGCACCAAGAAAACGGGTGAGGAGGGGACCAGGAAGGAAAGGAGGCTTGCTCCTTCAGCAACAGCAAGGGGAAGGCTGCTCATTACACAAAGGCAAAAGAAGTAACTACTTTACAATGAAGTACTAATAAAAAGAGTGGATAAAACAGATTAAAATTCCCATGCTTTTCACTTTAAGTGCTTACAATTTATATCAAAATTCATTTTTTGTGAGTATGTGCTGGTACTGGGGACTTGAACTCAGGGCCTCATGCTCTCATTTGGCTTTTTGACTGAAGGTTGGCACTCTACCAACTAAGCCATACCTCCAATTCTAGCTTTTTGATAATTAATAGGCGGTAAGAGTCCTGTGGATGTTCTTGTCCAGGCTGACCTCAAACCACAATCCTCAAATCTCAGCCTCATGAGTAGCTAGTATTACAGGTGTGAGCCACCAGCATCTGGCTTACTGCCTCAAAATTCTTAAGTTAAAATTCTGTTGGGCGCTGGGAGCATGGTTAAGTTGGTAGAGCATTAGGTAATGGGCAAAAGCATTGGGTACCGAGTTGGAGTCCCAGTTGTGAGATAAGTAGACAAGGTAACAGAATGTTGGTGTGACTACACTTGAATCTGAATTCCCCCTCCACGCCCAAGCCTGTGCGCTGCAAGTCTGGTGGTGATGAGATGCTGGAAGCTTTCAGGTAGAGCCTAGTGGGGGATGATTGGGTCACGACTGCCCTCTTGAGCTCAATGTAGGTCTCACCAGAGTGGATTAATACCAACTGTTATACAAGATGGAGGCCAGTCCCTTCCAAGGCTCAAGTCTTGAGTCACCTCTTCATGTGCTTCTACTGTGTGATGACGTCTGCCATTAAGCCTTTTCCACAGGCAAATAGATGCTAGGCCCTCTAAGCCAAAAAACTTCTTTTCTTGACACACTACCAGCTTCAGATACTTTGTTATAGCAACACAGACAAAGACAACTGCTAAGATAGGTTTGGAATTTGGGTTTAAATACTCTACTGAGTGAATATGTTATTAAATCTCATGTAGTTTCAATTTCCTCCTGTGTAAGTGGAGAGTGTAACATATTTTATCTTGAAATTAATGGAAGAAAACATATAAGACACTCAAATTCTGGAACAGTATAATAATGGTCAATATATGTTACTTTTATTGTAATGCAATCCCTAGATGGGCTACTGCAAAAACACACCATAACTTAGAACTAAAGTTCCCTTCAGAGTAAAAATAAGTAGAAGAATCAGCACAGAAAGAATGACAGCAGACTGTGGATAAATGGGAAACAATGGGGGAAGGTAGTAACTCTTTAGGAAGTATAGCTGTGTGCTAATGAGTGAGTTCCTTCCATTTCTTCTGATTCAGAGGGGCCATGATGTTGGGGGCTCTGCTCCCCAGGTTTACTATGTGACTTTGCTTCACCAAGAGTCACTTATGTCAGTTGTAGTTATTACTATAATTTTACAATATAAGTAGTAATCACTCTTACTAATAAAAGGAATGTGGTAAGAAAAGTGCTACTATGTAAATCTCACAACTAGGAAGTCTGTAAACAATACCAAGGCTCTATAAAGTCTCAATACAGGTAAACTGCTAGGTGTTAAGGTTTCTTTTTGCCCTTCTCATCTCTACCTCTCTAGTAGCAGGGATTACACTTATAAGCCACTGCTCCCATTCTGTAACAGTTTTTAAGTTGTAAGGTATTTAAAGATTATAAAAATCTTTATTTTCTAGTCTGCTTTTGTTGGTGTATGTATAGAAAAATCATGGGATCTGTACAGAAAAGATCTGAGCCCTGCATCCAAAGACTGGTAAATAAATATATTAAATGTTTAAAATAAATGTTTAAGTTATGTATGCTACATGTTATTACCGTTTGACGACTCTTAATAAGCTAATAATCCTGATCATGTTGGACAAGACTTACTAAGAAATGATGTGGCGGGTGTGTTGGGAAGAATGGGGAGAATGATGAAAGGGATGAGATCAATCAAGATGCCCTGAACTCATAAACTGACCTGCTGAGTGTTAACAACGACTTAAAAACAATTTTAAAAAGTGTGTTAGTTGTTAGACTATTACTACTATATTTTCAAAGGTTGAAAAGTTGCTATTTTTTACTGTATGTCTGCACATATCATTGTATTGCAATCAAATGCTTAATTTGCTTGTCAGTGTCTCAATAAAACCTAAATTCCTTGAAGAAGGGGACAATGGTAATTCCTAGCTTCACAGAGCAGAACTCTAACACCCACTGCATAGCTGTTTTATACTTTTTAAATGAAAAATAATTGAAATTAATGTAGAAAAGGCAATTTTGGGGAGTTCAAGTGGTAGAACACCTGCCTGCTAAATGCAAGGCTCTAAGTTCAAATACAAGTACTGCCAAAAAGAAAAAAAGACCCCCAAACAAAAACTGTAATCCTAGATCTGAGAATCATGGTTCAAAGCCAGCCTCAGCAGTCCATGAGAATCTTACCTCTAATCAAAAAGCTGACAGTAGAGCTGTGGCTCAAGTGGTAGAACACTAGCCTTAAGTGAAAAAACTAAGGGACAGCCCCAGGACCTGAGTTCAAGCTCCAGTACGGGCACAAACAAAAAGACAAATTCTTACCATTTTATACCTCCTCCATCGCACTTCTTCATAAGTAACGCTTTCCAACATTCATGAGCAGATTTAATAACTTCAAGAGCAAAAGCCTAGGTTCAACCAAGAATAGACATAGCAATCACATTGTTATGTTAACCCAGAACTAATCTCACTATAACACTGTTACATGAGCAGGAGCGCCAGAACCAGGGTAACTTGAGTATAAACCTGGCTTCCTTACTTACCAAAGTTAACAACTCTGGGGGTAGTCTTACTGCCACTAAGTCTCAGTTCCCTCACTAACTAAATGAGAACAATGGAAATAGTCTGTTTCAGGGGCTGGCAAACTAGTACCTGTGGATTACATCAGCCCTGGCAGTTGTTAGCTTGTGCTGCTTTAATAAATACTACAATGACAGAGTTCAGTGTTGTGACTAAATTAAAGTCCAGAAAGCCTAAAAAAGTAACCATATGATCCTATATGGAAATAGTTTGCCAGTCCCTAACCTTAACTATAGAACTGAACAAAGGATAAAGATGCTGTATGTGAAGTGCTAAGCTTAGCTCCAATACTCTTGGATTCTGAAATATAATATAATCAGAAATTTAACCTTTAAAATAAAAGTTCTCTCAGGGTTACTATTGGCTAAAATAACAGAGAATAGTTTAATTTTCAATGAAGCAGTGCTGGAAAATCTTGCTTAAGATATAACACAAGGAAAATAATTTATTGTCTGGATCATACAAGAAAAAACTGTTAGCCAAATATGTTCTGTTAACTGTGAGTACTTGGAAGCCATTCTAGAACTTGCTTAAGGAGCTAGGAGAAAAATACCAGAATAGAAAAAAATGGAAAGTCATCCTTTCAATTATGCTAAAGAAGCACAATTAAGTTTTTTTTAAGTTTGACTCCTTGTTTTTGTGGTGGTCTTGGGCACTGTTCCTGAGCTTTTTTTTCCTTTTTTTTTTTTTGGTCCGGGCGTGGAGCCTGAACTCTGGGCCTGGGCGCTGTCCCTCAGCTCTTCAGCTCAAGGCTAGCACTCTACCACTTGAGCCTCAGCGCCACTTCCAGCTTTTTTCTTTTTTGCTTATGTGGTACTGAGGAATCGAACTCAGGGCCTTAGGCATGCAAGGCAAGCACTCTACCACTGAGCCACCTTCCCAGCCCCTTTATTTTCCTCTTTGCTCAAGATCAGTACCCTACTACTTGAGCCACAGCTTCACTCCAGGTTTTTGCTAGTCAGTTGGAGATGACTCTCAGATTTTCGGTCTAGGCTGGCATCAAACCATGATCCTTAGATCTCAGCCTCCTGAGCCACCACCAGCACCTTGTAGGCTCTATGTTTTAAACTTTGCAATAAAGAGCAATGTATAGAATGATTATATTCTGAAGGAGTTATAAAAATGACCCAGTTTTCAGACAGAGAAGTTTCATGACATGACAGAACTGCCCTAAGGCAATAAAGGGACATGAAAATATGTATTTAGAGGAATTAGATAAAAATAATTTATTATACAAATTTCCAATATTTAATTCTAAAAAGAATGCAGTCTAAAATAAAAAGGTTTATGTTTATACTTAATAATCTTAAAGAAGCTGACATTAAGGGTTCATTTAAGGTGTCTCTCAAAAACTACAAGGTCCAGCTATCAACTTATATACATTCTTCTATCATCTAATATAAATTTTAAGTTTTCATTACTGTGTCTTATTTCACTTGTAAAATATACATTATTTACTAGTACCAGTTTAGAAGTTTGTAGATAATTGGCACTTACTGTAACAATCTGAAAAACTGACTTCATGGTCTATTTTTTCTATTGGTAACACATCAGAGACAATTTATGGTAACTTGGCATTCTAATAGAAAAATCCTATGACAGTAAGGGAACTCAGGCTTCTTAATTACTGAGTAGTTTATTTTAGGTCAGGGTGAACAGTCAGGAAGGAGGCCTCTATGGAATTATATTATGGACAAGTATCTTTCTCCTCAAAAGAGTAAAGGAAGGGTTTTTCTTCATAGACAATTTGCAAAGTTAAACTGACCATGGAATTCTTTTGTTTTCTGAGAAAGTGAACAAGTTTTATATGAGGTGACTCACATAGATATTTCTTAGCCTCTTGAATTTACTTAGCTCTCCTGAATGTCTTTAAATACTCAAATCAATAATAAAGCACTTTTGTCATTACGCTTATACATTCACATAAAAAATAACCCAAGTGAAAGAAGTATTTGTGCATACAGCAGAAGGTACATTTTAAAATAATAATTCTTATGTTTACCTTGTTTTTGAATTCTCCATTAAAAGCAAACTTGTTTTCTGCTTTTCCTTCTGGTACTTTATAAAATCTGAGCCAATTCAGAGTAGCTTCTAAATAACCTGGTTTGAACTTCTCTACATCATCAATATCTGCAAGGAGAGAAACACAAAAAAAGACATTTTGTTAAAAACCAAACTTCATTTCATTTAGTGGTAGGTATCAACCTACAAGAGCAAGAAAACGGTTCTCCTCCAGGAAGATGATAATCAGTGATGCCAACTGGCTACATCTGATGGATAGATCACTCTAGACTTCCACATGTAAGATACTGTTTCTTCATTCTACATGTACAGAGCACCTTCAAACATGGTAGTGTTTGGGTTTAAAGAGTTAGTGGATATATATAATAAATGTATTTCCCTTTGTTCAGATGTTCCGAGGCCTAGTGATGGGAAATGGACAGACAAGAGAACAAACTGCAAATGAAGTGCAGTAGGCTTAAACATATATGCCAAGGATGTCATACAAAAAGGAAAGAAAACACCACGAAAACTGGGAGGCACAAGGGCCAATCAGACAAGGGGAACGGTAGAAAGAATATCATATGAAAGCAAGTATGTGTACTAACAGGACCTGGCTGTTAGGAGGAAGCAGGGAAAGAGAGATACCAAGAAGGGCCGATCACTGAGAAAAACATATATTTTGCTAAGGAATCAAGAACACTTTACAGGCATCAGAGGGGTTAAGCCAGTGAAAGCTACAACATCAGGACTGTGTTTTAAAAATATGACCTGGAGAGCTGGGAAGGTGGCTCAGTGGTAAGGCGCTTGCCTTGCATGCATGAGGCCCTGAGTTCGATTCCTCAGCACCACATAAGCAAAAAGAAAAAAGCCAGAAGTGGCACTGTGGTTCAAGTGGTAGAGCGCTAGCCTTGAGCTGAAAAGCTAAGGGGCAGCGCCCAGGCCCAGAGTTCAGGTCCCACAACCGGACCCCCCCCAAAAAAAAAATATGACCTGGAAAGAAAGTTAGCCAAGGATGAGGCATACCCAGATGAGAACACATTAAAGCTGGGTATGAATGCATTTTTATCCAGATATTTATTAGGTTCTAACTATGTGTCAGTCTCTTTCCCAAGTAAAAGTGCTCTAGCTAGCACAAAGCCCACACCTCTGTGAGCTTCATCAAGCATCATGTGTTTATTCCCAAGGCATTTATGTTTGTATTTTTGTTATATAATTATGAGAATATCACTAATATTAAGTAAACCAATGGCATTATCAACACAAGAGTTCTGAGGCGGGGGGGGGGGCATGACTCTAGTGGTTAGAGAACTTACATAGCAAATACAAATACAAATACCAGCCTCCCCCCCAAAAAAAAAGTCCTGGTTTCTGTGAAATTAACTTTGAATGTTTTAAAATAATTCAGTAAAACTAGGGGCAAAACACATTTGTTATCAAATTAGGATTGGGTAGAAAAACAGGAAAGCAACAGCATTCTACAACACAGGTAGAGCGCTTTTATAAGTGGAGGAGGAGGAGGAGAAATTTAGACAGAGAGGTCACATCTGATAAAATACAGTTTAGTAGACTCTTGAAGTATGAGACTTTTTAAAAGAGTGTATTCCAGGAAGGAAGACAGTGCAAATACTCTGAGCTAAGATTGTGCTTTTGCTGAGTAAAAGTCCTGAGGCTAGAGCAGAGTGAAGAAAGAGGGTCTGTGAGAAGAGCGCGGAGAAGCAGACCCACGCGAGTCGCATGGGAGTCCTGGGTCCACACCAGCCACTACTGGCTTGTAGAAGTCTGTGCTGTAGGGCACACTCTCCAACTGCCTTGTGCAGAAAGGGTTACTCTGGAGTCAAGGAACAGCGTAGCAAAGGATCTAGTTTATAACACTAATGAAACCCTCTAAAAAAATCTGGAATGGGATGGAGATACGTGAGATCTATCTATCTAATCTATCTTATCTATCTTATCTATCTTATCTATCTATCTATCTATCTATCTATCTATCTATCTATCTATCTATCTATCTATCTATCTATCTATCTATCTATCTATCCATCTATCTATCCATTCTACCTACCTGCCTACCTACCTATCTTCGATCTCTATATATTTGATGACTGCTCTTGGTTTTAGTACATGACTTTGTTTTTTTTGGGGGGGGGCACTATTGAGGTTTAAACTCAGTGCCCCTAACTTGCTAGGTAGACATTTTACCACTTAAGTCACATCTCCAGACCTTCTTTTAGGCTTCCTATGATTTAGAGTTCTTAATATTACAGACTTGTCCCTCTCAGCTCTTTGACACTTTGAAACTTATATAAGTTTTTACTGGTTGTCCTTTTTTAATGATAATTCTTAGTTCTTTCTAAAAGTGTCCCAAATCTGATCATCTGGCATCATCTGCCACAGTTCCACTATGGTTGTCATTAAATTGACTCCAAATAAATTGAAAAACAATTTTTTATTACAATTATGGAGACTGAACTCAGGGTTTCCCTGCACATGTTATACAGGTACTCTAAAAACCAATTTTTAATTAATTTATTATTTAATGATATTTATTTTTAGCCCTAATATTATTATATATTAATTCTTAACAATTATTTCTTCCCCAGAGTTTTTGAATTAGATGTAAATAACTACTGTGGGAAAGGACTACATATATGTAAAATTATTTAAAAGCAGATGAAAATATTTAGTTTTAAAATGAGAATTAAATTAATCAAATTATCAGCAATCAAAAATACTTTCAGCACAACCCTTCAGGTTAGCTCACAGTAAAATAGGTAACATGAAAAAAGAAATTCAAAAAGACAAAAATCATGAGCGCTGTCCCCAGCTCTGAAAAGAGTACAAAATGGAAACAAGCAAATTAAACTTATGTGAAATCAAACACACTTCACAGAATCAAACAAAATGGTGTGAATGAAAAAAAGGGGTTGGTAACTAACCAATCATGTTTGTCTCATAGTCAAGAAAGGTAGTATTTGGACTGATTCTCAAAAGAAAAGAAGGTGTTTTCAGTTAGACAGATACTTCAGAGGCAAACGTATTTGTAAAGCTAGTGAGGTGAGCCTGCATTTCTGGGGAGAGGAGAAACTACTGTGCTGTGACCCCTGTTAGATAGTGTGAATGTTTAGAAAAACTGGTAGGAGAAGATTACTAAAACATTTAGCAACTTAAAAGAGAATTTACATTTTTTTTGTAAAGAATAAGAAGTCAGAAGATTCCCAACATTCTTTTAAAGTAAGATTTTTTTAAAAAATCAGGTAAGTTTGGTAAATTGCACAATATATTTAGTTATAGGAAGCTGAGAGCAGAGAAATGTTAGCACTATTTTAATGGAAAAGTAACAAGTGTTAGTATAAGAGACCAGAGAGAAGACCTGAAAGGTATTTCTGAGGTCAGGTAATTTGATGACAGATTGTATGATGCGTTAGATTGCTAGTGACTTAGGAAGACCATTCATGACAGATGATAAAGTTTAGAATGTTACCATGTAACATGACTCTAAAAATACTAAAATTAAAAACACTACAGTTTCAAGTATAAACAAATGGCTTCTTGCTTTGAAAGAAGTGAAAATGTATCTAGTTAGAAGGTATTTTCAAACTTTACTGAAAATGTTCATTTTTGTTAAAATACAGTTGCATGTTTTTACATATTCACCAACTGTCCCTAATACTAGTGCCCATGTTGAACACTATACAAAATCACCAGGGAATGTTTTTAAACCATGTAATTCACATTTGTAACTTCACCATCCATTTCCACAAACTGAAAATCACCTGTACTCCCACTAACATCAGCAGAAAAATGCTAAAATGCTGCATTTACCTGGACTATTTCTACCAAATCAGAACACAGCTAAGGATGTTGTCAGTTATGGGGCTTGAACTCAGGACCTAGGCGCTGTCCCTAATCTCTTTGTGCTCAAGACTTGTGCTCTACCACTTGAGCCACAATGCCACTTCTGGTTTTTGAGTAGTTAATTGGAGATAAGAGGCTCAAGGAGACTTTTCTGTCCTGGCTGCTGAGATCTGAGGATCTCAGCCTCCTGATTAGTACCTAGGAATACAGTCATGAGCTACCAGTGCCCAGCGTCCTAGCTTGCTTGCTTGCTTGCTTCCTTTCTTTCGTTGGTCCTGGAGGCTAAACTCTGGGCCTGGGTACAGTCCCTGAGCACATTATCTCAAGGCTAACAAAGCAAGAAAGCAGACTGAAATCTTTTCCCATCACACAGATTAACTTGAATGCTCTCCTTCAAGTGCTCTACTACTTAAGCCACAGCACCACTTTCAGCTTTTTCTGATTAGCTGGAGATAAGAGGCTCAGGGACTTTCCTGTCTGGGCTGGCTTTGAACAGTGATCCTCAGATCTCAGCCTCCTGAGTAGCTAGGATTACAGGCATTTGCCACCGGCTTCTGGCCTAGCTTTTTCTTTTAATTAAAAAAATCTGTAATATAAACTTAGTTGTCTTTGTCTTTATTATAAAGAAAGAAAAACCAATCAACCAAGCAACAAACAAACCAGGGAATAGCCAAATGCTAACATCTTTTCCAAAGGGGTTTAAAAAAGATAAATTCGGGTTGGGAAGGTGGCTCCACAGTGGTAGAGTGCTTGCCTCGCATGAGGCCCTGGGTTTGATTCCTCAGCACCACATAAGCAGAAAAAGCTGGAAGTGGCGCTGTGGCTCAAGTAGTAGAGCGCTAGCCTTGAGCTGAATTGTTCAGGGACAGCACCCAGGCCCAGAGTTCAAGCCCCATGACCAACCAAAAAAAAAGATGAATTCTACATATGTACCTATATACTCAGTCCTGAAAAAAATTGGTAGATTTTTCCAAAAGTAGGTTAGTTACAAGTTTATAAGAAATCTCATGTGATCAGGAAAAAATTGAAAGTAGTTGAAAGCACAGCTTTGGATCACACACAGGCATCCAGTGAACCTCCAGCTTCATCTCTAAGGAATTCCCCTGAAGTACTTAAAAATGTGCCAGTGTCCCTAAGAAATCTAACTCATGAATGAAGCAAGCAGTGGTTCTATGATGTCTGGAAATATCACAGTGAATTCTATTAATATGTACAATTACTATGCTAATAATGACGATAAAAACACACTTTCTTCTTCAGCAGGAACTTTGACGATAATTTAGATCATTCACTTTAGAGAGGAAGATGGACTAAAAATAATAGGTTAAAAGTATTTCTTAGAACACAAACATAGACAATCATCCCTACAAATTTAGACATGAAGGAACTCAGGCTTTCCGTGTGTGTGTGTGTGTGTGTGTGCTTTCCGTGTGTGTGTGTGTGTGCTTTCCGTGTGTGTGTGTGTGTGTGTGTGTGTATCTGTGTGTGTGTTTTCCAAAGCCAGATAACAAGCAAAGGGGAGTATTTTAGAATCTACAGCTATGACTGAATTGTGACTGAAACCTAAAAAACTATAATATGTCAATGTTCAACAAAGATCAACAGACTCCCAGTAATTTAATTTGTAATTATAGTGCATTTAACTCAATTTGTCCCTGTTCTTCAACTGCCTCCTCCCACACCCTAGCCTTACTCACCCACATCTCTAAGATATATTCATTAATGGAATCAAAGGGAAGAAGATGAAAAGAGCTACCTTCTCACTGGACCTCTAATTATCATCTTACTGATGCTTTCATTATTTAACAGAAAATGATCCTAAATCCCAGAAGACAACACATGCAGCCAACTAACCCAGTAGTTTTTAGAAGAGCAGTGTGATACAGCCTTGATCATGATCTCTTGGAACCAAATGGGACTCAAAATGGCTAAAGGGTAATTTCAGAGGAGTTGGTAACCATTCCCCACCAAGCCTCAGTTTCCTTATCTGAACAAATAGGAACAGCAAGGATCTTGACTGGAGTTATGAGAAAATTGCTTGTGGTGTAGCTGATAGGCACAGTAATGCTGCAGCTAACATGAAGACAGGGATTCTTCACAGCCCAAGAGTGCATCTACTGCTTGCTAACAAAGCAGGAAAGCAGACTGAACTTTTTTCCCCATCACACAGATTAACTTGAATGCTCTCCTTCAAGATTACCAGGCTATTCCCTCTTCTCTTTTTTTCTTTCCTAAATGACATTATTAGATTATATTCCAGAAAGAAGAAGATCAAACACTACCCTAATGTGTTTAAAAAAGTAGTTATTACAAGGGTACTAGAAGCATTTACTTAGCAAATGAAAGGTTAAGCCATGTAGTTTCTACATTTATTCCTCTAAATAAAAGGAATATTACAGCTTTGATTTGCGCATCTTCCTAAATGTTGAAATTCCACACATTTGAAACATGAAACTCAAAACTTTAGAACAAGTGTGATGAAGAGCTTTTAAAAAAGTCCCAACTGTCTAAAATAATTTCCTTCTTGTTCATGTAACTTTTTCATTCAGAATGTTCTACACCAATAAGATTGTTTAGATTTCAGTATGTTTTTTAATCTTTCATGTTTTAAAACTATAAAATCACTGCACAGGCAAAGTATTTTGCTAGACAACAGGCATCAATGTTTATTTATAAAGAGAAGAAAGCAGTAGTAACGTCCCTTGCTCAGCATGTAGAAATAGCTTCTAGGCCTCAGTTACCTGGTTCTTGACATTCCTCCCCTTGTAAAGGTCCCAAGTTACTGCTGGAAGTCCTGAAGAGGTCAAGCATCTGTTTGATGCTTGGTGAATTTCCAAAGCTCTACATTAGGGTACGTGGTTAATTTCACCAAGAGGGAAGTGACAGAAGCCCCAGCATTTTCATCTTGTGAAAAGCTCCGAATCTGGTTATTTTATAAGCAAGTACTATTATCTCTAATGCCCAGTCATTCTCTGTAACAATTTACATGCCCTGAGAGTCTTATTAACTCTTTCAGGCAATTAAGGTACTATTACAATCATTAGGGCCTGGAACCTAATTGCAGTACACGAATGGTCTCCAAGTATTAACGAGTCTGCCAAAGTGATCAATTTTCTGTTTGAGAGAACAAGGTGTTTTAGTTTCAAGTGCTATTTACCTAGACTTTTGTGAGATTATAGTGGATATTCCAGTCCTGGTAGGTAAAACCTGAAGATTTAAATTAGTAAAGTTAAAATTATAGAAATATGGTTTTTACTAATTGAAACTTGCTCGCTGATGCAATGGCAAGTTTTAGTTCACTCACGTCAAAATTAAAATACAAGACAAAAGACGATGTGCTTCATCCACGTTTGCACATCTGTCCATTAGGACCAGAGAAGCTAGTTCATCACACAGAACAACTCCAAAATTTCTTTGAAAACATCACAGCTTAAATATGTCCATAGAAATATAGTAAAAAAAAAGAAAAGAAAAAATGTATAGATAAAAGATATCATGGAGATCAGTTACTCCACGCTGTACAGAACGGGAGCTTTCAGGTCATGCTGGCCCTGGGCAACTCCAATCTTAAGCAAAGGTGTACTCCCTTTGGAGAAAAGGTGCTGAGGCCGGATAACTCTGAATCTTGTTTGTGAAAGTAACCAGCCTACCTACCTATCTAGTGCAAACCATGAGGCATGACTGATCACTTACTTACCCAAAGAAAAAATCATCACTTTCGAATTATCAAATTAAACCAGGAATAAATGGGCATATTGCTATATCAAAATCATATCAGAAGCTGGGCCCTGGTGGCTCATGCCTGTAATCCTAGCTACTCAGGAGTCTGAGATCTGAGGATTTAGGTTTAAAGACAGCTGAGGCAGGAAAGTCCATGAAACTCTTATTTTCAATTAACCACCAAAAAGTTGGAAGTAGAGCTGTGGCTCAAATGGCAGAGGTAGAGTGCCAGCCTTGAGTTAAAAATAAATAAATAAATAAGCCGAAGGACAGGGCCTCATAGCTTGTCAAACCAGCTTCTGACCTGGTCATAGGAAAGGAAGTAAAAAATAGAACTCTAGATACGTTACTTAAGAGTTATTGGAATAACTGAAGGAAATACAATATAATCAAGCTATGTTTAGAAATGAATTCCCTGTCTTAGAGTAGCAACTTAAGTCCATAATGAAAAAATACAAAATAAGAAATGAGTTGTAAATACATTCTTTACAGAACAGCAACAATCACTCAAAAGAACTAAAAACCGGCGTGAAAAGACAGAAAGAGTACGAGAGAGGGGTGTGGAAGGAAGGGAAGGGAGGAGGAAACAACAGAAAGGGATGAGAGTCAGTGGAAGAGGGAACATGGAGAAGATGGCTGGTAGACTACAGTAAACACTTTCTTAGTTTAAAATACTGTTTGTTGATATGTCTTCCTCTCTCTTGTTTCTCTTACTACATATGACACTACTCAGACAGAAACTTAGATTATCTTTTACAATCTATGGGAAGAAAATTTTAAAAAATACATATATTTAATTCCCAGATGTATCAATTGTGTTTTACATGACCATGTTTTAAGCTCTAAGAATTCTAATGACATAATAATTTACTTTTCTGGGAAGTTCCAGACTTACCATGAAACTTTTCAGCTTCAGGATCATTTACATTGATAGCAATTAATTTCCAATCTGTTTCTCCCTCATCAATAAGAGCCAATATCCCAAGGATCTTCACCTGAACCACTTCTCCTCGAGAAAGAACCTTTAAAGAGAAAAAGAGAGTCACCATTTGCAAGGCTCTTAAGAGTTTACCCAAGTAACATAAAAACCCATACAAATGACAAAAAAATACTATAGACAGAAATGTAAGTTGTAATACTTACAGACAATGTAAAAGTAGTCATATAGATTGCTTTGCAACATCCCTTTAAAACCAATTATTTTATCATTTTTACTTCCACCTCAAATACCAGTATTTCACAAGTTGGGAACAAAGAGTGTTTTTAAAGTTCTTGGGACTCCACATAAAGTTTTTAAAAAGCTCATGCTAGAGCCAGACACTGGTGGCTCACATCTGTCATCCTAATTACTCAGAAAGCTAAGATCTGAGGATTGCAGTTCAAAGCCAGCCTGGGCAGGAAAGTCCATGAGACTCTTATCTCCAACAAACTACTCAGAAAAAGCTGGAAGTGGTGCCGTGGTTCAAGTGAGAAAGTGCTAACCTTAGCACAGACAAGCTCAGGGACAGAGTGTAGGCCCTCAGTTCAAGCCCCAGAACCAGCAAAAAAAAAAAAATAAAATAAATTATTTGATATTTGAAAATTTATTTTAAAATTTTTATGAGTTTATAGACAAGCAAGAAGCATGCCTAATGGATCATAAAGCTTCATCAAAATATACATGCCCTTTGATCAAGAGCAGAAGGGATCATTTTATTTCAAACAAACTATTACTGTAACATTTTTGCAAAGTATAAAGAAAAAAAATCAAACAAAAGATACTTAGGAAAAAATGTTAACCTCAATCTGAATTAATGCAACAAATTTTTACCAACCATATCATGCTTAATCTTAGATACCAAATGAATAATGCATAATCTCTCAAGAAACTTATAATGTTGAAATTTCTGCGTCTGTGTCTCTCAATTATCAACTTGCAGGATTCTGCTTGATTTCCTCAGCCTGTTAACAATACTTGTTAAAGGAAAGTTTCTACCACAGTGCTCCATGCGTCCGACTAAAGTATTCTTTTCATAGCCAGGCATAGAGGTCAGGGATAGCACACCCTTAGCAAAGTACATATGTGCAAATATACTTTAGTAAATATTATGACGGGTCATATTGAGAAAAGGAATAAACTGATCTGGCTCTCAGGAAAAATGTACTTTCCCAGTTCAAATACATTTCTACCCTTCTAAGAAAATTACTTTACATGGCAGATTTTTTAAAAATATCAATTCTGGGCTGGGAAGGTGGCTCAGTGGTAGAGCACTTGCCTTGCATGCCTGAGGCCCTGGGTTCAATTCCTCAGCACCACATAAGCAAAAAGAAAAAAAGCCGGAAGTGGCACTGTGGCTCAAGTGGTAGAGTGCTAGCCTTGAGCTGAAGAGCTGAGGGACAGTGCCCAGGCCCAGAGTTCAGGCCCCACGACCGGACCCCCCCCAAAAAAATATCAATTCTGCAGGACTAATGTAGTTCATCATGTTTGAAGTAAGCTGGGATTCTATATGCCTCAAAGGTTTTAAGTGATATCAAAATTGGGTTATCAACTTTGGTAGCCACTGCAAAAAATTTCAAATGACAGGATTTTTAGTTATAAACAGTGTAGCTTAATTCTTTCACTACTGTTACAAGTGGCAACCTGAGGAAGATTACTTCATGGAATATTTTACATGTTTCTCAACAGTCAAATAAAGACAATATCACTTATCCACTATGGGAAGTAAAGAGGCCAGGGACAGCATACAAGATCATCTATAGATACCAATGTTATTCTCACTCAGCTCTACATGAACTTAGCACTACCCACTGCTGATCCTTCAGAGTCTGGTATGAGCAGAATCCCTGAGGCCTCCAGTGTATATTCTATGTAGATTCAGAATTTAGGAAACTCTAACATAAGTTCTATGGTGATTAAGAACTTAAAACAGGGGTAAACTTCAACCAGGTCCAGTCAATATAAATACTACTTTAAAGTCTACTATGATATGAAGAGGTTTCCTAATATTGCATAATAAATTATTAAAACTGAAAGGCTTCAAATAGTATATCATCCGTTTGTATGGTTCAGGTGTCTTGGCCAGTAATCTACATTCTCTACCTACGGCCTTGCAAGCTAAAAACAAGGAAGGATTCTCTTCTGTTGGTTTCTTGCAGTTGTGGGACAGAGGCCTCTGTTGTGTTGCTCTCTGCATCTAGAAGTTGGCCTCTATCCTTCCCAAGTGCCTTCCCTTCCTCATCTTTAAAGCAGCAATGGGGTATGTGCACTTCTTGTGACCTTCTCACCCTTTCTCACATGACTCTTCCACCACTAGCCAGAGCAAACTCTGTTTTTAAGGGCTCACATCATTACATTGAGCTCTCACATACCTACCCACTGCTGATCCTCAAGAGTCTAGTCTGAGCAGAATGCCTGAGGCCTGAACTGTTCCTAGTTTACAGCAAGCCAGGAGAGAAAACACAATCTAGATAGAGCGAATGTCTCACTATATCCACAGATGCAGGAATCATGGCAGACATCTTTCAAGTACCATTTTGGAAAATCTAGTATCCCAAAAGAAATTAAAAAGGAGAAGTTCTATAACAAAAATAAGTTGTAAAAAAAAATGCCCCCAAACTCAAATATGTACATATTTATCTGAGGAAGAAAACATGGAAAAATAAAAACCTACATTTATTGGCACAGCAGGATTTTAAGAGAAAGTTTGTCTTTAATTTCTTGTCTATGAATAAAACTATAATTTTCTATAATACATAACATTGAGGGGAAAATTTTTAAATATTTGGGAAAAAAGGGTCAAAAATAAAAACAAAAGCAGATAAAAATTAAAGAATGTGTTCCTAGAAGAGAAACAGATTTTTGTGATCACCAAATTCAAATAATAACCAGGCTTACAAAATGTTAATTTTAGTATAAAATAGCAGTATTTTGCTTACTGGTAAACCATGGTGCTTAGGAATTCATTTTTTTCTTCTACATGCTGCTAATAATTCTAGAATAGCCTTCCAGCAGCTCTTGTTGATTCTTATGCCATGAGCATTTCTCCTACACCTTATAATATTCTAATCGATATTCAAGTAGAAGTACTTTCATTTAATCATTTATAATTAGTATCTTATCTACACAAAACATTACAAAGATTAGTCAATATATTCTTCAGGAATTAGTACACACTGGCTATGTATTAGGCTTTAAAGGTACTATGCTTCCAATACTGTCTTTAGAAATCACTATTAAAAATCTTTCATTTTATTCTGCATATTCAGTGACTGACACGTTTATTTAAGAACCCATATTGAGTTTTCTGAGTGTTATTAATTTGTTCTGTCAGTAACAAATTAGTGTCACTAAGTCAAATCAATTTAACAGATACAAATATTTTCATAGGATTCCTTCCAGTTAACCATCTCATTAATTACATTTCACTGACACATCTGTTCATGGACAAAAATAAAGTCACTTTAAATTTAATCTTTTAACACCTACATAATGTTTCAAACAATTTAATAATTTATACTAAATATGAACTGCATAGGACAGGAATTGTTTTCAAAGAATTTTATATAATCTTTGGATCAATGTAATATCAATTTATTGACCTTTGCTTAAGATTACAAAGTTTCTATTTTATGATAAGACTCTTTATCAAGATACATAGATGTGATTGAAAAACACAGCACAGTGTCTGGGCACAGGAGGTACTCCTTAGAATATCCATCATTCTTTCTAATCTTTCATTTTATGCATACTTTGACCATCCCTGGGGAAAAAAAAGTTCAAAAAATGAATTCTCAACTGTAACTTAAATATTATAAGCAAAACTTATAATTTGTTCTTATTTCTGTTGGAGAATTACAGTCATATACACATATGAATTGTAACTAATCAACAAATACTCAGGAGGTTGAAATCTGAGAACTAGAGTTCAAAGCTAGTCTGGGCAGAAAAGCCATGAGACCCTTATCTCTAATAAAACTACTCAGAAAAAGCCAGAAGTGACACTGTGGCTCAAGTGGTAGAGCACTAGCCTCGAGCACAAAGAGGCTCAGGGACAGTGTCCTAGTTCAGGCCCTGAGTTCAAACCCCAGGACTGGCAAAAAACCCAAATAAACAAATTCCCAGAAACACAAAATGGAATAAGGCTTTTTCACCTTCAGGAAAACAGTAAGAGGGAAGGAAAAAGAAAGGAGGGGAAGTAAGAAAAGGAAGTAGAGGAAGAGAAGACAGTGGAAGAGAAAAAAGCAAGAAGCAAAAGAAAGAAAGATGAAGAGGAAGAGGAAGAAGTAAAACAAATGAAAAAGAAGAGAGGCTAGAAGCAGTTGGCTTTCATCAGTATTAAAGCTTCTGTCTGGATAATGACAGGGATGCTGCGGAGAGACAGGGCTTGGCAAACTTCCTGTAAAGTGTCAGATAGTAACTATTTCAGGCTTTGTGGACACCATGATCTCTCCTACAATTCCTCAATTCTACCATGTAGTACAAAAGCAGCCCTAGACAATGCACACATTAGGCATAGCTGTATTGTACATATAGGGGTGGCTGCATTTTTCTTGCTATAATTTACCAACCCCTGGGTTAAGAGAAGTAAATATATAAAAGACCAGATATCAGAGAAATCAATAGCTTGCACTTTGAAGAGTTGAAAGACTAGAGGCAAAAATGAAACTTCATAGCATGAATAAATCAAAGCATATGTTGTAACAAACAAAGTCTATAAAACCAACCTTGGAGCCTATTTCACAAACATCAATAGGGTCATTATCTCCACAGCAGTCTGTGTTCTTATCTTTCTGATTGGGATCTTCCCAAGTCTGAAAGAGAAGCAGAAATGTAGGTTAATGCTCACTGTAACATCTTAATCTTTCTACATGATCATCAAGTTTTATAGATAGCTATAATTCAAAGGGGAAATTCTCAGAAATTACACAGGCTCAAGGGCAAGACGCCAGTATGTCCCTAAGCATCACAATAATTAAAACAGATTTATAGTATTTCCTCCCTCTGTCTCATTTGTCTGTATAATCATGTCTGAAAGTGGGTGGTCCTCCAAATTTAGTCAGGGACTCAATTCATATTCACAAATCTTAAGAGTTTCAGTTTGTGTGTTCTCCTGTATGTGCCCTTGTTTCTGAGTTTCCACTGGCAGCCTCAACAATGACTTCTGTCTCTTATTGCTGTCTGACATGGTGACACTGAAGAGATGCAGCTTCCCGTTTTTGAAAATAAACTTCCTAGTCTTTAAATAGCTTCTAGTCGTAGAAACAGTTTTCCCTTCGTAAACAAAAGAACAAGACGTTATATACCTTGGGAGGGGCAGGGGAGGATGACGAAAGGAGCAATAGCAACCAAGAAGCATCGCACTTACAAACTGATTTGTTGAATCAACTACCTAAAGATAGATAGTAAAAATAATGAAAGAAAAACTCTTTTTATCTCATTTTGTTCCACTAAAGAAAATGCTCTGTATTTTTACATTAAATTTTAAGATACTGAAAAAACATACAAAGAGCCAATCAATACCCGTGGCTCATGCCTGTAATTCTACCTACACAGGAAGCAGACAACTGAGGATCAAGGTTCCAAGCTGAAAGACTCTTATCTCCAATTAAACAGCAAAAAGCCAGAAGTGGAGATATGGCTCAAATGGTAAGAGTGCCAGACTTGGGGGAAAAAAAGCTAAGCAAGAATGCATAGCCCTGAGTTAAAACTCCAATACCAGAACAACAACAAAAAACCCCACACAAAACCATGAAAATAAACTCACCCAGTTTGCTAAACATAGTATACTATTGACTACAAAATTACGTGTGCTTTTGTAAATGGACAGCATAGTAGATATTTGCTATCAAGTTTAAATATCCTCTAGGACCTACCACTTCCCTAAAGCTTCCTAACTGCTTGCTCTAAATCCAAGTCTAAAAGTTGCTCAAAAGCTCCCAGAATTTACACTATAAGAGTGTAAAGGGGGGTGGAGGGGCAGGGGAGAGGATGGGAAGGAATGGGAAGGGGAAACAAAGGAGAAGGCTACAATGCTTGATAAGAAATGTACTCATTATCTTGCCCGTGTAATTGTAAACCCTCTGTACAGTAGTTTCACAATAAAATAAAATAAAAAGAGCTGTGAACATTGTGCCACCTTAAGATTCAGTTTATTGCTACTACCTTGGATTTCAGGTTAGCCAAGTTTAGTTTCTCTAATTTTATGTCTGTAACTAAAAATGCACACTTATTAATAGCCAACTCCAGAAAAATATTTTCTTTCTCATGTTAATTATAGTATACCCAGAAATAAATTGTCCTGACCCTATTGAAAAAAAAGCAACCATGTCAGACAAGATTATACTTCCCAAATATTAATTACTAGTATAGTAATATAAAATTACTATATGTATACTATATTTTATATATAATATAAAATTACTAGTATAGTAATATAAAATCTATAATTGTTCACCTTACATACTGCTTATAGGTGATACTTTCTAAATCACATGCATAAACACTGTGGGGGAAAATGACATTATTATCCACATTTGTACAGATAAAGTGAAATAAAGTGTTTAACTTGTCCAAGTTTAGAGTTTCTAAGCATTTATAATGCACTTTTTTGTTCTTTTTTTGGTGCTTAGGGCTCAAACTCAGGGGTTAGATGCTGTCCCTGAGCTTTTTGCTCAAGGCTAACACTCTTAACACAGCTCTACTTCTGGCCTTTTTTTGGTAGTTTAGTGGAGATAAAGCGACTCATGGACTTTCCTGCTTGGACTAGCTCCAAAATGTGCTCCTCAGATCTCAGATCCTTGAGTAGCTAGGATTATAGGTATGTGCTATCAACGCCAAGCATCATGTCCAAATTTTGATAATGATAGCAAATTCTATTTTGTAGTTATCTTCTTGTAGATACTTTTCTCAGAATCTCCTAAGCACATTTTCCCACAGAAATTCCATTCTTCTTTGGTTTCCCCATCACTGTACATTTTTCTTATTGTTACCATACATCCATTTACATTAATCATTACATTACATTTACTGAGTGCTATCTAGGCCAGGAATAGAAATGAGTAAGAAACAGCCAATACCTTGAAGAGTATCAGGGTACTGGAATTTATGACAAATACTTCAGCATTTGTGCTGGGATTAACAATGTGAGACCAAAGTAAAGTCAAAATCAAAATCCTAAAAAATCTCTCTCCTCATACAGGGTCCTCTCTTGAACCCTCCTAACCCTTCTCCCACAGTCAGAGAGAAAACAAATGTGATAAGCCAGAGACACGGCCTTAATTAGGAAAGGCAGCGGGATTCTATCTTACGTCAGCCACAAACTACTATGACTACAAAATCAAGACATCAGTGTCTTCTGCTAGAAAAAATGATTCAACTAGAAAAATTTTAGATATATTTTTGTCCTGCAACTGTGATTTTTAGTATTCATTCATAATCTGCATGAACACTACCAGTGAATACGAAGCTTACTTTGGCTAGTGTTAAATAAGAAAGCTGTTCTTTGAGACAAAACTGTATTTTTATGACATGAACAAAACTTGGTTTTGGTAAGTGTTTCTGTTGACTTGCATTCTCCCAGAACTCTATTTTGAGTATTAGCCACTGATTTAGTTTCTATCATTAGGGAAATAAGTACGAAGTAAGCATGCTTAAACTACACAATGACTACACAATGATACTAATTTTAACACCGTTTCTTCATGACTTTGCAACAGAAAAAATACCAGACTGATCCTATTTCCATGTCTGCCTTCAACGAGTTAAATCTTCAGGGCTTTGGTTTTCATTTAAGAAGAAACACAAACTAAATGACCTCAATTTTAACTTGGGGTCATTTAGTTTAAAGTCAAAGAGAGGAAATCTTGACCGATTTAAAACTTTGAACATGCCCTCTTGTGGAGTTTTATGTGTATAACAAGCAACTAACTAGAAAATAAGAAGTTCATGAGCTTTGTATTTCTTTCAGAAAAGTGAAAAAGATTACTATCTAGAATTTAAAACTAATTTTTGTAAGGACAACCCAACTAAAATGGGCTTTAGACAAGAACAGGAAATTCAGAGAAACAGAAATATGAATAGCTTAAAAATGTGTAAAAAGGGCTGGGAAGGTGGCTCGGTGGTAGAGCGCTTGCCTTGCATGCCTGAGGCCCTGGGTTCCATTCCTCAGCACCACATAAGCAAAAAGAAAAAAGCCGGAAATGGCTCTGTGGCTCAAGTGGTAGAGCACTAGCCTTGAGCTAAAGAGCTGAGGGGCAGTGCCCAGGCCCACAGTTCAGGCCCCATGACCGGACCACCCCCCAAAAAAAATGTGCAAAAAGATTGATCAGATAAATACAAACTAAACCACAACACTATTTCCAATTTTTTTTTAAAAAAATCTGATAGTGTTAATACCAGTGAAGGTATTTATAACAGTATAAGTTGCTGCTTGGCAACAGTGGCTAACACCTGTAATTCTAGATACTTAGGAGGCTGAGATCTGAGGACCAAAGTTCAAAGCCAGCCTGAGCAGGAAGTTGAAGAGATGTGTATCTTCAATTCACTACCAAAAAGCTGGAAGTGGAGCTGTAGCTCAAGAGGTAGAGCACTAGGCTTAATCATAACAACAACAACAACAACAAAAACCCTCAATGACAACAGCCAGGCCCTGTGTTCAAATCCTCAGGACCAGCACACACACATACAGAGTATAAGTTATAAACAACTTGGGGATACTTATTAAAATAGGTATAAAATTCACAATTTGACTCATGAAGTATATACCTAGGGGTACATACTCAAATATAGAGAAAACAATTAACATGGACCAAAGCAAGGAATCCAAAAAAGCTTTAAAATAAAGCTATTATCAGGAACCGTGTTATAATAAATGATTGTGATACTATAAAAAAAGGAACAAATCAAAATGTGTAGCCTAAATTAAAACTTTTGTACAGTGTTTAAGATCATTGCCCTGTAATTTATAAATACGAGCTAATATGCTTGTAACCACCATGCTCTGGCCCAAAGCTTCATATATAGGAGAGTCTTGAGAATTCATTCCTGATTAACCGTATCACTGTGCTAAAGGAAGTAATAGCTACTCAGTGACAACCTGGATTCCCAGCTTTCAATTAGAGCAAGAGTGCCTCTTGCTGTCACCGGCATCACTGAGATATTACTGAGAATTCACTACAGAGTTGAACATGCTGCTGGCTCACCCTTTGCTACTCACAACCACCTTATTGGGGCAGGTGGTGGGACCATACATATGGATGGACCCAACAAGGTTAAGTCTCTTGTCTCAGGCTCTAAACCCAATCTTCAACTTAGCAGTTGACTTGATGACTGCTCTCACCAAATTTCCCACTGTTGTAAGATAAATCACAGGTGAACAGCCAAATGTGGTATCTATATATGCCAAGGACACTGAGAACCAGGATATAACCATCCACAAAATCCCTGCCTCCAGAACTCTTGTTCTTATTTCTATGCTTTATTTTTCCTCCTTTCCACACTTCCCACACTGTAACCTGCTCTATAATTCATTTAATTTGTTGTCAACTTCTTCTGGCTACAGTGCAGTTTTGTTTTGTTTTTTATCAGTCCTGGGGCTTGAACTCAGGGCCTGGGCACTGTCCTTGAGCTTCTTTTGCTCAGGGCTAGCACTCTACCACTGGAGCCACAGCACCACTTCCAGCTTTATCTGTTTAGGTGGTACTGAGGAATCAAACCCAGGGCTTCGTGCAGGGTAGGTAAGAACTCTTATCACTAAGCCACATTCCCAGCCCTTAGAGTGCAGTCTTGATGAGAACAGGACTTTTGTTTGTTTTATTGATGGTTATATCCCAACTGTCTAGCTTAGTGGCTGGCACTAAGCTGGTGATCAGTAAATATTTTTGCTGTGAATTAATTAATGCATTGCATATGTGTTACTCATAGGCATGTATGAGTTGGCTTTCATTTGAGCATTTTTTTAAAAACTGAATTTAATTATTTTTATTTGGTAGATAACTAGGATATGCAATCTAAGTTTACATGCACACATATATACTCACAAGACTGGCTAGGATTTAAACACATATCTAAGACTTTTGCTTAAAAATAGCAGTCTATTTCCTTTCCTTCATTTCCATTCACTCACACTGGGCTACTCTGTGTTACTTAACTATACGAGGCACATTCAACCTCAGGCCATTCTCCTTGCTGTTTCCTGTTGGACTGCTCTTTTCCTAAATGTCCACCATACATGGTCCCTCACTTCCTTTAGATCTTTACTGAAATAATACTTTTCACTGAGATCTTCTCCATAGCTCAATGTCAAGAACACTTTGGAGTGCCATTCCCTCCCTTCCTAGCAGTACTGGGGTTTGAATTCAAGGCCTCCTACTTGCTAAGCAGGAACTGTACCACATAAGCCATACCCCCAGCCTTTTCTGCTTTTTATTTTTCAGGTGTGGCTTTACATTTCTGTACAGGCTTTGCCTAAGATCATGATCTTCCTACCTCTATTCCTGTGCAACTGAGATCACAGATGCACACTATCACCCTTGACATACTGATTTGCACAGGGTCTCAATACTTTTTGTGCATCCTAGCCTTGAACCACTAATCCTTCCAATCTCTTCTTCCCAAGCAGTTGAGATTACAGGAAGGGATAAGGAGGCATTTAATGAGCCGCCACACCCAGCCTCCCTGCTTTTTTTTCTCCTCCAGTGCACTTACTACCCGCTGACATTATACTTGGTTTATTGTTCATCTGTCTGACTAGAATAAAAGTTCCCAATGAGTTTTTGTCACTTTTATTACTGTTTTCCCAGAGTACTTAAGACTAAAAACATTGCCTGGAAACTATTAAACACTCAATAAATATGTGTTAAATGGAAGAACAGTTCTGTAAGCTTAGAAATTAGGAACACTATAGAAGTTGTGTGGAATGGAAGTAAGGATGAAGGAAGAAAGTTGCAAAATAAGGATGGAGATCATGCAGGGTCAGGGAAGAACTTTTAAATAAGAGTTTTATATTTTATCCTTTTAAGGACAAGAAATTGAGGGGCTCTTTATTGTTTTTGTTTTGTTTTATTTTCCAGTATTAGAACAGAACACAGGTTTTGTAAGCACTTTACCACTTGAGCTGCATCCCAGTCCTTTGAGTTTGTTTTTCAAATTGGGTATCCTATTTTTGCCCAGACAGTCTTGATCTGTGCTCCAAAGTAGGTGGGATTAGAGACATGTACTTCCATAGTTGGCTCTGAAAAGTTCTGGCATAGGAAAAGCATTCCTGGATTTTTAAACTCTCACAGTAGATGTTGGATGGAATATGTTTTAGGTAGGTAATAGAGAATACAAGGTAAATAGTAAATTAAGACATAGAAGCAATTTAATTTGGTTGATTCAAAGTTAACTCACATAGAAAAGTCCCTGAAACTCCACCTCCAAATAACCTGCAAAAAGCCAGGCTAGTGATGTGGCTCACATAGCACAGGTTTGAGTAAGATTTAGAGCCTGAGTTCAAACCTCAGTACTAGCAAGGGAGAGACAGAAAAAGAAAGAGAGAGATGGAGAAAGAGAACACTACTACACGTAACAGACTAAGATCATGGCAGATAAGAGCACCTTAAAATTAAAACACATCACAAAATTTTAGCGGGCTCCATAGAGAAATCTACATAAATTTATTTTGTTTTACCTTCATCTCTCACCTCCTTTCACTTCTCATCAATAGGTCTGCTTTATATTGTCCCCAACAAAATAACAGAATTAGTAAAAATGTTAGGCTTAGATGTCGATCACACCAACCAGAATGTAAATTACTTCAATAAAAAACAGAAAATATTCTAGTAGTAATCACAGTGTTACTATCCATTACACATTCTACTAATGAAATAATTTCATTTCCTCTCACCACAGCCATATGCAATAGATAATATTGCTCTTCATTGTACAGGTAAAGATGTACCTTGCCCAAGGTCATATTGTGTCTTCTGTCTTCTAAGCCCAACACCTAGTTTACTAGCCAGAACATAGATTCTTAATAAATGTCTACAGAAACGAACAAACTTGAACTCTATTCCTTCTCTTCCTTACATGCCTTTTTTTCCATCTGCCTCTAATTCAGTGGCTTCTTTGGCCTGGCCCTTTTCCTCCCATCCACCTTTCCCCATGCCCTATGTGCCACAGAATTTCTTCAACCTTTCCCTGGTGAGTCAAGCAGAATGTCTTTTTAGGCATTTAGGGAATCAGAAAGGCTGCTTTCCATCTCAGCAGACATTTCCATCCTGAGCACATCCATTTTAGGAGTGCCAGTTAACCAAGAATGCATCCACGTGGGTGGTCTAACTGCAAGAAAAGCAGCCTGGCTCTTCAGAGAACAATTTTCCCTTTTCTGTGAATGTTTATTCTAAATGGGCAGCTGTTTTGCTGGGCTGGAATAAAGCCAGGAACCCTCTCCCCTATTCCTAGAAATTTCTTAAGTCTTTGCATTTCATGCAAGATATTAACATCAATATATAAAAATACAAAAATTAAACCTTCAGACAGATGTTCTAATGAGGTTAATAAACATAAATGTTTTTTTTTCTCTCTGTCCCCCAAACCTAGACTTTGGAGCAAGCAAATATACTGAAGCTTCCTAGTTAAACTGAAATATGAGAGGAAAGTTAAAAGAGCAAGAAAGGATGGAAGCAAATAAGAAACGAAACTGTCCAATGAGAACACTCTTGTCATTATATTGCCACTTGCTTCTCATCCTCCCTGCTTTCTACTCCTAACAGTGAGTAAGTAGATAGTCTAACTCAGCTCACATGTTCTGAAAAAAATCACCATTTAAAAAGTAAAATTCATTGTATATAAATAGGTATAACAAAATTATAGGAATGACTACAGATAAAAAAATTAGCCAGGGGCTGGGAAGGTGGCTCAGTGGTAGAGCGCTTGCCTTGCATGCATGAGGCCCTGGGTTCATTCAATTCCTCAGCACCACATAATCAAAAAGAAAAAAGCTGGAAGTGGCACTGTGGCTCAAGTGGTAGAGCACTAGCCTTGAGCTGAAGAGCTGAGGGACAGTGCCCCAGGCCCAGAGTTCAGGTCCCCACGACTGATTCCCCTCCCCCCCAAAAATTAGCCAGGCTCTGGTGGTTTACACCTGTAATCCTAGCTACCCAGGGGGGCTGAGATCTGAGGATCAAGGTTCAGTCAGCCCAAGCAAGAAAGTCCTTGAGACTCCTATCTTCAATTAACCACCAAACAGCCAGAAGAGGAACTGTGTGGCTCAAAGAGTAAAAAAGCTCAGGGATAGCACCTAAGCTATAAGCCCTGAGTTCAAGCCAGAGGAGTGGCACACACACACACACACACACACACACACACACACACACAAATCACACTTATACACACACACACACAAATCACACTTACACACACACACACACAAATCACACTTCATAGCTCAGTCCAGAAAACGAAATGTGCTCAAAATGTCAATACACCGTGCCAGACCCCAAGAACTTCAGCACAGACACATATATGGTTTCAAACAAAATTTATTGATGCAATAAAACTGCACATTAAAGAATTTTAAATTTACAAATCTCTCCAACTGACGGGTCCTCAGAACCAATTTAAATTCAAGTAGTTCACAGGATTTACAAGGCAATTTTTTTCTGAAGACAGACAAATTTTACCATTATAACAAAACGTTACCTGAGGGAGGGCCCCATAGTTCCATATATAACCCTTGTGAGGGAAGATGTTTGCCACAAAGCGCAGCTTGCCATGCTTCGCGTCTTGTTTAATGGGATTCAATGGTTCCTTGGTGGCAATCTGAGCAGACCACAGGGGGACAAAAAACGGGGACTGAGCACTGGATGTGATAGGATTCATCCTACATCTAAGCACTTTTTAAATTTTCCATATTCAGACAAAATATGTACTCACCGGTCAAAAGTGCTTTAAAATAAATTAAGTCAGTACCTATTACTAATTTAGAATACCATATTTAAGATGGAAAGGAAACATCTAATCATAGGTGGAGGCACTGTAACACTATGCATTTCGTTGTTCTTAAACACAAGTGATAACATACTTGGAATGGCAAGAAGATAAAGATAAACCAAGTTGTCTGGGCAATAATCTTTTAGATTTGACTCCATACATGCAAGTAAACAAAGCAAAACTAGACAAATGTGATTACATCAAATGAAAAAGCTTCTGCAAAGCAAAGGAAATAATTGATAGTGAAGAAACAATGTACATTGTATACTGTGTTTACATGTATACATATATACACTACAGGTATACATACAATATATACGCTGTATGTATATATACACACACAGTTACTACAGGTAACTACACACACACACACACACACACACACACAAAGGATCTAGTAAAATTACTGATAAAACTTCCTAAATATAAATTTTGAAAATTACACATCTTCTTAACAATGCTTATCTTTAACTTAAAATAACATTCCACCAGATCTCAAGCAGTAGAAGTTAGCTAAATAAACAGTGCCACAAACTAAATTTCAACTCTAAGAGATCTCATCTTACCAAAGAAATAATGAAACACTGAAAATAAGTTATAAAGAAGTCTGTCAAACATCCCTATTTCAAAGTATTATGCCAAATAGCTAGAGAGTGTTTTTGTATCATTATTACACTGACAGTTCATTCTACATTAATAAACACGTTCGTACCTCCATTTTAGCATTTGTCCACCGAGGCACTTCCACGACCATATTAAACAAATTCTGTAATTTAAAAAAAGAAAAAAAAAAAGAGAACACTGGATATTTCATCTGTTTTTTTCACTATGATTTGGAGAACCTAGTGCTAACTGAAATTAGTACAGCCTTTGAAAGAATGCTATAGGTTTTTGTCCAACAAAAAAATGTTCAGTGTCCACATTATACACTTACCTATTTCTTGTAGAAATTTACAGAGGTTGTTTGAAACTCAGCAGAACTGAACCCATCACTTTGACTCCTAGTGTTGAAGGTTGCTACCTTTAAATGCACCTTTGCAGTGCAATGACAGAAGGAGAATGGAGTCAGGAAGAGGTGGTGACTGTCATTTTCTAGCTAAGATAGGAGAGAGACCCAGTCCCTCATCTCAGACTTCACCTTACTCTTCTGTTCAAAGAAAACAGTGGGACCATCTCCATCCCAACTACTACAAAGTAATTAGGAAGATCAGTGACTTACATAACGTAAAGGAAAACACACAGAAAGTTATGAAGTCAGATATTTTGAAAACTATACAATAATATTTACATCTAAGATACAATCATAATGCAAAATGAGAAATACCAGTATAGGCAGTTATAGATTCTGCATAAACCATAGCCAGCCATTTCCCCTGCCCTCAGATAGCTTCTTTTTCTCCTATACTTTATAGACTGCTTGAGCTAGAAGAGACTGTAGGTAGTAGTTTCTTTTTCTCCTATACTTTATAGACTGCTTAAGCTAGAAGAGACTATAGGTCAGTAGTGAATAAAAGCCATTCCACAGCATGTCATACAAAGTGAGACTATTTCAGTTATTGGGGACTCATGTGACATTTTAATCAGGAAGAAGCAATGGTTCAAGACAGGACTACCCCAGGAGTGGCCCTGGACTAGGCCAATCTGCCAACTGGTTGTTACTGGCATTTAGAAACCTATGCAGGAAGCTGACAGTAATTACATGTCTGTGAATCTAATCATCAAAAACTGAAACTTGACTTAATACTTTTCATCATTCATTCTGATCCTATTTCTAAACTATCAGTTCACAACAAACACCAAAAACCACAATTATTTGAGAATAATTAAATACACTTATTTTCAATTGTGCACACATCGAATTCACCTGGTGAGCTTTAAATACAAACAGAAATCCCTAGCCCTACCACTGACCAATGTGAACTCGGCTGGTTGGGAAGGAGCCAGGAGGGTGCTTATTTTTAAAAGCTCTCTAAGCCATTTTAATACACAAAGTTGGTTTAAAAAACAACAGCTTGCAGGTTTTAGTGAATAGCAAATGTTGTTAATTCAAACAATGCCATTTGCACAATTAAATGTAAATATACGTTCGATGATGATATTTATTTTTTCTAGGTGAGACTAAGACTTCCAAATGGCAAGAGGCAAACCCATAATGAGGTAAACAAAGCCTAGAATGAGTTTCCAGCAACTATGCCTTAGAAGTGCATCTCCTACCTAGCTCGGCAACCCTGGCACAGCCCTGCTGTTCTGTTTCATTCTCTATGCTCTTTCATGAGGTGCTCCACACCTGTTTAAATATGTCTCAAGAAGCCGTTAAAAGAAAAACCCAAGTAAGTGGCAGATGTTCACATAATGTATTCATTCCCTGAAAGCCTAGCTGTAGAACAAATGCACGTGGATGAATATTCAAGATGACAGAGAAGACCAGGCTCAGGATGACTGCTGTACACAATGACACCTACCAAAATCACTCACACAGACCTGAATTGGGCCAAAGAATAGGTCTGAATTTTCAGCCTGGAAGTCAGACTCCCCCTCCCTCATCACTTGCTCCTGATCACTAAGGGCCAACTTCTAACCTGCCTTTCTTCTCTCCAGCTAAAATGTATTGGGCCTGTAATTTTCAGGCTCACGTTAGTCTGGGTTTCCCAAGATTGTTATTAATTATAAGCCAACAATGGTCTGCCAGAATTTATTAGAAAATCACCAAGATAAAAGGAGGCACATATCAAATCAGACAATTATGTATGGACATTTAACTTCTCCCTCAATCCTCTTCTCGCCATTTCTTCCTTTGTAAATATAATGAAATAAAACACACAATTTTTAAACAAAACAAAGTCACCAACTTTTATATACACAGGGGTGGGGAATGAGGGGAGAAATAGGAAAATCGCTCTTCTTTCCTCTTAACGCTTTCAAATGAACACAAATCAGATAGTCTCTAACTTGAACTGGATTACAAGAATTGTATTTTAATTTGGTTGTCTGGACTCAGAATATACTTTTTCCACTGTCACAGGTTAATACAAACTTTTGAGTTCCTTCATGTTTGCTAGTCCATCAAGTACCTAATCACTAAGACACTGGCTGTCAAACTTTATGTCTAGGATGAACCTGGAATACTTGCTAAGCATGGAGGAGAACCAGGCCCCATCAAGTAGATTCTGATTTAGCAGAGAGACAAGAGGGTCTAGGACCTCAGCTCCAACAAACTCTGTAAGTGGGTCCAGTGTGGGTAACTGAAAGATTACTTGACAAAGACTAACTCGAGAAAATGGAGGATGGCAGACAAAGGCTGTAGGGATTAAACAGCCTCCTTGCCTATGTGTGAAGAGGGATCACAGACTAGGGACAAAAGTCTCAGTGAGGGGAGAGAAGAGAAGTAATATGGCTGGAAAGGTAAGGCAGCCGGGAAAGCTGTCTAGCACAGCAGGAAGAATGGGCACCTAGAGCAAGAGGTGCAGAAATGTCAATCACATAATATAACTGAGAGATTCCAAAAAGGTGTGATCGTCATTTAGTTAAAACACAGACTTGAAATATATGGCATGCATTTACTTTATCAAGCATTTTCTTTCTTACTTTTTAAAGTTTTGGAATACATACTCCAACTACTTTATTTTACAAATAAAGGAAGATAATCTGATGCCATCTCATGAAGTACATTTATTTTAGACTAATCTACCATAATACATAGTTTGCTACAAAATCTAGTTTTGCATTGATTCTCTTAGGTCTTTCCCTTGAAAAAGAAGTTTCTAAAACAGTAAAACTGAAAGACAAAGAAGAACAGTGGATACAGGAGGGGTCAAAAGGGACTGCTATTTATTTACTGGGTGCAAAGTTTCCATCTGGGATGACAGAAAACGCTGCAAATAGGCAGTACTTAATGCCAGCACACTGTACATTCTATAAAGTTTAAAATGGTAAATTTTATGCTACAAATACTTTACCACAGTAAAAGCTCTAACTATTAGCCCTAACTTCCTTAGAGAGATACTAGGAGAAAAAAATACCAGAATGCACATGAGTCTTACATGGGCAAACTCACAAGTTTACAAATGCAAACTATCACTAAGGTCCCAAAGAGACAGTATAAAAGAGATTCACAAAATAGGAACTTTTAGATATACCTCATATTCATCATTCCGTGCTTTCTTCGTGGGAATGCCATTTTCCTATAAAAGACAAGACAGCGTTTATGAGTGTAATATTTCACAGAAAAATACAGATGCACTGCAAAGTGATAAAAATGCACCGGCTTTCTTCATGTCCTATTTCAGAGGCTACTCAGAAATTTCCTCCTCCCACCAGTAATGTCCAGTGAACTAAGCACCAAGGATTTTATAAAATAAAGTATTAGAAAAGCTAAATCACTTTCAAGAATTTTTCCAGATTTTTATGAAATAAGCAAAGGTTCTGTACAGTCTTTAAGGAAAGACTGGCAGTTTCCAGTGATTACACTTAAAACAGTCATTCCATTATTGAAATGAAACTCCAGGGAGCATGACTAACAAGCCATGAAAGTGCCGGCTGCACCTCCTGCCTGTGAATTCTACCCAGGTGTGATGATTACGCCTCCACGAGGCATTTTTTAAATTAAACCAGACTATGTGGTGGGTTGGGAAGAAAAATTATGCCATTCACAAATGTACACCCAGTACATATAACATTTATATACCAAAATGACTACTAATGAATCAAACAAACAGAAAAACAATTATTATTGTTGCTATTGTTAAAAATGAGCCCATTGTTTAACTAAATTATTACCTCTAATCTACATTTCATACCGAATTCTAAGCTTTATCTACCACTAACACCCGCTTTTTTCCAAATCCTATCCTTACCCAAATTTTCATTCATGATTGAGGTTTACAGCCCTGTTACTGCACCTGCTTCCCTTCCTGACCTCCAACCATATTCTGTCTTTCAGGGTGTTCCTAGAGAAGCATTTTATGGGAATGACAAAAACACTTATCTTCATTCCAGAAACAAGTAGGAAATCATACCTCTTTAATATCCACCTTCAGAGGAATATCATGAAAGGGGGAAATGTAGTGACCTGCCACATTCTCTGCAAAAGAAAAACAAAACCCACAATTAAGCAACGATGTCGGCTCTTTTTAGCGATGATAACTTGATCCACTTTGACCTGTACTGACTTTCTTCTTAAACCTCCAATGTTAAGCTCAACTCAACTTTTAAAATGTTCCTGGGCTGGGAAGGTGGCTCAGTGGTAGAATGCTTGCCTCCCTCGCATGCATGAGGCTCTGGGTTTGATTCCTCAGCACCACATAAACAGAAAAAGCCAGAAGTGGTGCTGTGGCTCAAGTGGTAGAGCACTAGCCTTGAGCTGAAGGACTGAGGGACAGCGCCCAGGCCCAGAGTTCAGGCCCCACGACCAACCAAAAAAAAAAAAATTGTTCCTGTCTAATCACCAAGAGAAATAACACCATCTAAACTATACTGTGTTGCTGAAAATCATTTGCTTAAATATTCAATGTAGAAAATGCCTAGAATAGAGAAAAATGCACGAAAATCTCACTGAAAAGACTAGTACCATTTTTTCCCTAGGAGAATCTTAATAAAACCTCCAGTTTCTATCCACCATCCACAGAACGGTGAAAAAGTCACTTTTGATAAAAAGAAACAAATAATCTGTTTTCACCCACACTGGCTTAAAACAAAAGCAACTTTCAGTAACAAACTTATCTTAAGATATTAAGAGTTGTATACTAAAAGGTGTCTTTAAAATATAGTTTAAAAATTCTTGATGACGACTAATCTTACTAAAGTGAGATGAACTTTGTTTTGATTTGCATTTCCTTTATGGCCAGGAATGTTGAACATTTCCTATGTATTTATTGGCCATTCTTCTGAGAAGTCTCTACTTAGCTTCTTTGCCCCTTTATTAATTGGGTTATTGATTCTTTTGTTATTTAGTTTCTTGAGCTCCTTGTATGTTGATTACTTGTACAAGAGAGAATATCATATGAATATGAAATCTATGTCTGATAGTCTGCTTCTATAACAAACACCTACATTTATGCCAAATACCAACATACTGTTACACACCATTACCAAAACCACTTAAAGAAATTCTTCTTTTTTTTGTGGTACCAAGGCTTGAACTCAAGGTACCATGCTTGTTAGATAAGTACTCTATCACCTGAGTCATACCCTGTCTTTAGCTTTTGGTTTGTTTTTAAGATAGGGTCTTGGGCTAACTTGACCAGTTTTGGCCTCAAACCAGAATCCTCCTATATAGTAGCTGGGTTACAGGTATGTGCCACCATGCCAGCCTTTGTAGAAATTCTTATTGGAAGCTTTAGTAATAAAGAAGGCTAATTTTCTGCTAGGATTAAAAAACTAAAGTTAATATGTTCACATGTATGGTGCATAACACATACTATTAAAATATGTACTTGAAGAATTTTCCAGTTATTAACACAACAAAACAGCAAGATATCAAAGAACAGAAATACTAGTGATACTAGATCTTTGGCCCAATATAAACAACTACATTCATTTAGTTAACTCAAAAGACTACAGAGCAGTATCCATTGAAATTATTAGACACAGAAATTAATAAACTGAGACATTTCAAATATTGTTTGATATAGTCTCTTCTTTGTACTCTCTACAGGAATTAGCAGTAAGAACCTGTCTAATGAAAGAAGTTTCAGGATTGCAGGTTACAGACATCGACCACATTCTTGTGTCTCCATGAATCTCCAATAAAACTTCAGTAACTTGGCTACAGGGAAAGGTAAGCAGTTTAGAAAAGCAAGGGGCTGGGCACTGGTGGCTCACGCCTAGCTACCCAGGAGGCTGAGATCTGAGGATCAAAGCCAGCCCAGGCAGGAAAGTCCCTGAGACTCTGATCTCCAATAAACCACTAGAAAACTGGAAGTGGCGCTGTGGCTCAAGAGGTAGAGTGCTCGCCTTGAGCTGAAGAGCGCAAGGACAGCGTCTAAGCCCAGAGTTCAAGCCCCACGACCAGCAAAAGAAAAAAGAAAGAAAAGCAAGGGAAGGACACCAGGAAGAAAATGATAGGGAAATTTTTTTTTAATACCACGCATTCTATTTACAAAAGAAGCAAAGAAAACTTTTATTCTACAGAGCTCAGAGCAGCCCTGCGGAGGCGGGCAACCTGCTGAGCAGGACACTGTCACTCTACCCCTACACCCATCATACACATGGGGTGGCAAGTGCTAGCCATGTGCCATTCTACAAACACCAGCCTGGCCAGCTGGGGAGGGGATGGCAAACCTTGCTGTGGTCAGACAGAAGTCAAGGGATGGGTGCAGGGTAGGCAAGCTGCAGGAAGCACACCCTAACCAACTTCATCCCAAGACCCAAATGCAGTGTATTGTATGGCAAGAGTTAACCACCTGCCACTTTGCAAACAAGTGACAGCCTGGCAGGCTAGGTAAAAGAAGGCAAACTTCATTGGTGGAGGGGAAACAATCATAGCCTGAGCACCCCAATGTGGGCAAAGGGCAGGAGTGGTAGCCAGAAAACTCCACAGAGCACACCCAAACCTGCTTCATCCCTTGACCGAGTGTATCTATAGGTTTACCTAGTGCATTTGTAGTATATTTGCAAGTCTGCCTAGAGTATTTGTGTGGTAAGAGTGAGCCACACACCTTGTGCAAATAAAACCCTCCTGAGGACTAAAAGGAAGAGGGCAAACCTGTTGCAGATCAGCTAGAAATGACACTAAATTTCGCACATAACTAGTCACACACCCTGTGCAAACAAAACTACGCTGCAGGCTAGCTGCAGGCTAGGAGAGAGAGGGCAAACCAGCTGCATGCAGACCAGCCAGAGCTGATACTGAATCTTGCACATAGGTCGAGGCCTAGGCCACAGAAGCAGTTGTCCTTGGAGGGTACAAAGACCCAGGAGCTGTGCACTCTGGCCCTTGCACGGACCCCCTCACTAGCTGCTGCCACACCTGACTAGAACAGCCCAAACCCTTCCAGAATTGCTGCAATCCTGGAAGAGCCCTGCCCACAGAATTGCTGTCACTCAACACAAGTAGCCCTCCCCTCCCCTGCCCTGCCCTGCCCAGGCTGATATCCTGGTGAGAGTCTTAAGCAACCTACCTATCATCATCACAAATAGCTGCGCAACAACCATAGACAATCCCAGTCCCCAAGGGGAACCCAGGGTGAACACAGCCAGAAAAGCACAGCCAGAACATTGAGGGCCAGAGACTGGAGGAAATCGCCTGCTACACTAAGCCCAGCTGGTATACACTCTCCTGCTCTGCAACAAGAAAGTACTGACGTGTATTTTATCTGATTTTTTTCCACTTTTATTTTATTTTCTGTCTATTGTTACTATTGTTTTTTATGTTCTTTTTTCATTCTTTGATGATAACTATCTTTTTCTACAATAATTAAACTATATTCTTCTACACTATTATTTCATATATCTTCAACCCATATGAAGAAAATTTAGATCACTGTATCAAGCAAAGCTATCTTTCAGAATGGAAAGGCAAACATTTTCAATTAGCAATAATCCCGCCTCTGATAAACCTCATTGGCTACGATACTGCTACTGCGCAAAGCTAAGGCAAACATTTTCCATAGCATACAAAAACTGGTGAAACTCTGCAGAAGATACTTAAAGGAAGACAAACATGACCACAAAAACAATGAGAAAGAAAGTACACTAGCCAAGTCTCTACATGAGTATTAATTAGGAAAAAAATTAAACACTAACCAAAAAATAAGTCAGAAATTATGTACCTCCTACAAAAACCTCAAATACTAATGATCTCAATTCTCTAAAGGCACAGACTGGTAGGTTCAATTAAAAAAACCCAGCCAGGCAATGGTGGCTCATACCAGTAATCCTATTCAGGAGGCTGAAACCTGAGAATCACAGTTTAAAGCCAGCTTGGATGGGAAGATCCTTGAGACTCTTATCTTCAATAAACTACTCAAAAGAAGGCAGAAGAAGCACTGTGGTTCAAGAGGTAGAGTGCTAGCCTTGAGCAAAAGCAGCTAAGGGAAGAACACACAAACACACACACCACACACACACACACACACACACACACACACACACGCACGCACGCACGCACTCACGCACGCACGCATGCAAAGACCCAACTATTTGTTGCCTATAAGACAGGGAAACAAAGGAGGAGGCAACAATGCTTGATAAGAAATGTACTCAATACCTTGCTCATGTAATTGTAACCCCTCTGTACAGTATTTTCACAATTAAAAAAAAGTATTAATTAAAAAAAGTGGAAAATGATATTCTAATCAAATGGAACCCCAAAACAAGGAAGAAAAGCCATATTCAGATCTGACCATGCATACTTCAAACCAAATTAGTAGGAGAAAAAAGGAGGTGACTACATGTTGACAAAGGGAATAATTAACCCATCAGGAAGATACTACAGGGCTGAGCACTGGTAACTCACATTTGTAATCCTAGCTTCTCAGGCAGCTGAGATCTGAGGATCATGCTTCAAAGCCAGTCAGGCAGGAAAGTTACTGAGACTCTTATCTCCAATTAGACACCAAAAAACCAGAAGTGGAGCCAGTGGCTCAAAGTGGTGGCGCACTAGCCTAGAGCAAAAAAGCTCAGGGACAGCTCACGGGGCTTGACTTCAAATCCCATGACAAAAAAAGAAGATATAATAATTATAAACAGGGAAAGCATACAGAATGAACATCAAAGCACTCAATTTCATAAAACAAACACTAGTGGACATCAAAACACAGATATACTCCAACACAATAACAGTGGGTGACTTCAGTATTTTTACTAATACATAGATAAAAGAGACAACCATCAACAAAAAGCATCAGAAGTAAATGATACAGTAAATGAAATTGACTTAACATCTGCAGAATATTCCAAAACAGTCACTGAACACATATCCAACTCAGCAACTCAAAGACATTTCATATATATATAGAGAGAGAAGATATAGATATATATTCTATTTTAGGACATAAGGAAAGTCTTAACAAATACAAGAAAACAGAATGGAATAAAAGTAGTAATCAAAAGTAAAACTGCAAGAAATACATGGAAACTACACGATACATTTCTGAATGCTCATTGAAAAGGAGTAGCCATTGAAAA